TCCCGGGGCGGACACGGCCGCGCCGCGCGGCGGGGCCCGCGCGCAGGGACACGTCGGCACCGCGCAGCGCTTCGTGATGCCGGGGCCTCTCCCCAGCGAGACTCGAGCGCAGCGGGGTCCTCTGGTCTGAGAGCGGCGTCACCTCTGTCCCCCGGGTCCCCCCTGCCCGCTGAGGTTCCCATCACTGTAGAGAAATCAGGAAGTTTGAGAAAAATTCGCACTCACACAGGTGACAGTGGCTCTGCTGGTCGGGAAACCAGGCCTAGGTAGTCTCCAAAGGGCTGTCAGGCGTCTCTTCACCACCAGCTCTTGCACATTAATGCAAATTTCATTGACCAAATGGCAAAAAAAAAAAAGATTAAAGAGTTGTATTTAAAATCAAATAGTTCTCCATTAGGTAGTGCTTACTGTGGGTGCATCTCCATACAAAGATGCTGGGGGACATAAGGAGTTTGCCCTGTTCACGTTAGCGCTGTCAAACTGCAGCACGCTGACCAGTCTGTTGTTTTGGACCAGGTGAAGGGCGAGGAAGAGGAGGAGAACATCTTGGAAGTGAGAGAGACTAAAGTTAAAGGTAAAAGGTGAGTGTCACCCTCTAAGGGTCTAAGGGTTGGTACCTGGAGCTTGCACATCTGCACTGCGGCATCTCCCCTAGAGTAGGGCAGAATATAACTGTAGGCTGGCATACCTGGAGGCATCCCCAGTCCTCGAGGTCCATGCTGCGCCCAGACAGCACTGAGTTGCTGCAGGATTGAGGAGCACCATTCACACATGTAATCGAGTCCAATTTCTGCAGCCCAGGAGGTCTGGCTAAAGTCATTGCACTTCCTTAGATGCTCATTCCATAGGATGTCATCCTTGTGGCTGTAGGTTCTGCACTGAGCCAAACACAGGGCAGGCATGAGCAGCATGCCACTGCTGCTTGCATCCTAGGGCTGCTAGTGCAGGGAGAGGCCAGCTGGAGACAGAGCCTTAAATGCTCCCTACAAGGGATTCAGCTGCACTCAGTCTCCCTTAATGAAAGGGGCAGTTCCCAGAGTCCTGGCTCCTAACCCAGCTCTTTCCTGTTGAGGGCCTTAAATAATGTCCTCTTCTTTCATTAAAAGACATCAGATAAGATGGCACAACTGTAGCTGTAATGCACATTCCCCAGTGCTCCCTTTCGGGGGGCCTCAAACAGGCTGCCCTGGTATTTACAGAGAGATTAGAAATGCTCTTTGGCCACGTCCCCAGAGCAGTGCTCCTATGTCTGACGTGGGCAGTATCCCTGCATCCGACGCTGGGCATGGGTTGCTGCAGAGAGGGTGCTCCGTCACCTCATGCCCTGCAGGCAGAGCTTGGGATGTTGTGCACTTGTCTAAACATTGAACAGGCAACTGAACATTGAACAGGCAACTGCCTTTGGAGCTGTCTTCAGTAATGCAGTCCAAACCCTGCTGGTTTTCTGACCATCCCTTAGTTTTGGATCCTGCGTGTGCACAGGTGGTGCTGAGCAGAGAGGGAATAAACTACTTGGGAACAGGGAGCGCTTAAGGTGTCAGTGATTTGCCTTCTGGGCGTTTGCTCCTACTTCCTCCCATTCAGGTCATTATTTTTGCCTAGAAAACTATGGAAAAGCCACATTGGAACGTGTATTATAGAAGCGGAACTGGAGGGGAATGTATCACCGTTTCCTTTCCAGAATGGGACTGGTTGGCATGGCGAACCAAAGACTGTACTTGTGCCTGGACACTTTTCACCCATTGTTGCTCCCTGTCCTGTTTATCCCAGTCTAGATCAAGCACATCCTGTAGGACAAGATGTGGACCCCACCACACACCCATAAGTGATAGAGAACCCCAGAAGGGCTCCCATCCACAGGGATTGTCGCAGGGTGTGCATTTGACTGCTGTCTTGCGGGAGAGCTGACATTTATGACTGACCTGCTTTTCTCCCTTCCAGTGGGAAATTCTTCTCCGTGAAGCTGCCATCCCCTTTGGCGCCAGGAGCCAAGGTCCGTGTGTCTGTCGAGATGGTTTTCACGCACGTCCTGCAGCCATATCCCACCCACATTACCCAGAGCGAGAAGCAGTTTGTGGTCTTTGAGGGAAATCACTACTTCTACTCACCATACTTAACCAAGACCCAAACAACACGGGTCAAACTGGCCTCCAGGAACGTGGAAAGCTACACCAAGCTGGGAAACCCTTCCCGCACGGAAGACATGATTGAATATGGCCCCTTCAAGGACATCCCTCCCTATAGCCAGGTAAAGATCCCTGCAAAGAGGCTGTTGCTTGTTGTTTTGCCACAAACATCGTGTAAATGTGGGATCTGCATGTCAGGAGACTGGAAAATGGGAAGTGGAGGCAAACCATGCATGGTTTGGGCAGGGCTATATTTGCAGGGGGGGATTTTGCGGGTGCATCCCCAGTGGCCAAGAGACTTTCTCCAGGCTCCTCCACTGCTACGGCGCTGCCAGCAGAGCTGAGCATTTACCTGTGACTGTGTTACCTGGTGCTCTGCATGAACTGGGCTGGGGTGACTCTTTCCTATCAACCAAGACTCTTCAGCAAAGCCTTCTCTGCAGACAGCTTCACCTGCAGAGTCTCTCCTGGAAGGTTCTCTCTGGAACATGGAAGCAAATAATTGGGAAGAAGTTTGTGGCTAATCAGTTATCCTTTCTCCTTGTTAGGACACCCTGAAGGTGCACTATGAAAATAACAGCCCATTCCTGACCATCACCAGGATGACCCGAGTCATCGAGGTTTCTCACTGGGGGAACATTGCGGTTGAAGAGACGGTTGATTTAAAGCACACGGGAGCGGTGCTGAAAGGGCCGTTCTCCAGATACGACTACCAGCGACAGCCAGACAGCGGCATCTCTTCTGTCAAGTCCTTTAAGGTTGACGTTTTGTATCTTTACTGTAGCTTCCCTCTCTTGTATCCTCAGATAAAAATCCAGTTATCCTTCTCTTTTTCCTTTGGTGACTGTACGTGAGTAATAGGGGAACATTAAAGATTTAAAATATCTGCAGAGAAGGCCCATGGGGGATGGATATAGCTAACAGAGGTACAGGAGAAGGTACAGGTACTAGGAGGTTACATCTGTTGACCAAACGCACTGCACTGACCAGGTCATGTAGTGTCTCTCCATACTCCCACTGCTCCAGTCTCAGGGACTCTCCAAAACCCTTATTCCCCTGTGCTGACAGCTCTGCTTCCCCATACAAGGACCCTTTATTCTGTCCCCACTGTCTTGTTTTCCCAATTGCCCCCTCTGTTACAATCTCATTGTGTTGAATATTAATTAGAAACTCACCCATTCATTCCTTATCATGAAGCACTTGGAGTGTCTGCTGGCCAGATGTGAAGAGTATTTTGTGTTTTCATCTCAGCTGAAAGCTTTCTCGCTCCTTGAAGCCTCCAGGACTGATGGCTGTAATTCTCCAAAGCGGCCCAGCCAGATAGAAATCTTGTTTTGCTGAGTGCAAAACAGCAAGTTCAAGAAGTTAGGAGCAGTGGGCTGGAAGGAAAAGGGCATTGCTGCCCTGATGGGTGTGATGAGATCCCTGCTCTCTGGGGTACTTGGAACTGGGCTGAAGAAGGTGCTGGATTCTCCCATTCACTTAGAGGCCAAGTGATTTGGGCGCCAGCACTCACTTTGGTTGCTGATGGCTTATAACAGCACAGTTTTACCACTCAGTGTAACTACTTGGCCATTTGGGGTCTGTCCCATGGGAATGATGTTCCTGAGGCTTAGCATCTGTTACTGGTTTTGCCAGCTCTCCTGGAAAGGAGCTGCAGAGCTGAGGCACTGAGCGTTGCTTCTCCCCATGCAGACCATTCTGCCCGCTGCTGCCCAGGACGTGTATTACCGAGATGAAATTGGAAACATCTCCACCAGCCACCTCCTCGTCCTGGATGACTCTGTGGAGATGGAGATCCGGCCCCGCTTCCCGCTCTTCGGGGGATGGAAGACTCATTACATCATCGGCTACAACCTGCCAAGCTATGAATATCTCTACAACCTTGGTGGGTGACACAGCGGAAGGGAATAAGAAAGTGTTTTCTGTGTTTTAGAGTGGTTGTGGCACAGTAAAGGACTCGGTCGTTTGAGCTGCACCGTAGCAACAACAGCACCTTAGCTGTTGTTTCTAGAATATGCAAATCCATCCCTCTTCTGTGCTTACTTCAGGAATTCGTGGACCTCTGGTTAAAATATACTTGGGTCAGCTAGTGCCCTGTGCTGTAGGATATATCCATCCTTAATTCTGCTCTTGCTTCTGTTAAGAACTGTATTTCAGTGTTGTCCCGTGTTCTTCCAGGAAGTGTAACCTCTCCCTGGTTTTCCCTCTTAGGTGACCAGTATGCCCTGAAGATGAGATTTGTAGACCATGTTTTTGATGAGCAAGTTACAGACTCTCTGACTGTCAAGATCATCTTGCCAGAAGGTGCCAAGTAAGTGTCATTACTCCTGGCTCATTACCACCAAAGAGGCTGTGTTAGTGCCAATCCTCTGGCGTGCTCTAATGCCCTGAGGACAGTGAAACAAAACCACTGGCTGTGCATATAGAGGAAACCTTGGAACACAGCTTTGTTTCCTTTTAAAGGGCTGTTTGAACTACATAATTGACTTCATGCTAGAGGCCACAGTTGACCAGCCAAGTTTTGAATTGCTTCACCTCAAACAGCAGAGTCATATAGGACTGTCCGGCTTTCTCTGTAGGAATATCCATGTGGACAGCCCCTATGAGATCAATCGTGCTTCGGATGAGCTCCACTACACATATCTGGACACTTTTGGACGTCCAGTTATTGTGGCCCACAAGAGCAACCTGGTGGAGCAGCACATTCAGGACATCGTAGTGAGTGTCACCTCTGTGCGCGTGGTTTGTCTGACCTGCTGGGCCTCCTGTTTTCATCAGCACAGTCAAAACAGCTGTGTCAGGTTTCCAAAGCTCCTCTCCCTGCCATGTGGCCAGTTCCACTGGAAGAAGTTCTCTGCCTTAATAACATGGATCATTTCTCAGTGTCTCAATCTTCTCCTCTAGGTTCATTACACCTTCAACAAAATCCTGATGCTGCAGGAGCCTTTGCTGGTGGTTGGAGCCTTTTATATCCTGTTCTTCACTGTGATTGTCTACGTGCGGCTGGACTTCTCCATCACTAAGGTGCTGTATGATGAAGAGCCCTTTGGGAGCATTAATAGTTTGCTCATCCAGTGGCTGGAGATTTTTTTAACCAGTAGTTTTTCTCTCTGAATATTGATGGTGAGTAGGCATCCATGTGGATGCTTAAATGGAGCCTTCTTTTTCTATCATGCCCAAGCACTGATGCTCCTCTGCAGGGTTTGAATTGGTGGGTGAAGGCTGATCAGAGTTTTGTCTCTAGATAAAAGTCCACCCCTGAAGCAGAGTCCCTAGAACCTGTCTGCAATTCTCTGTCTCCAGACTCTGTTTTCAAGCTGTTTGCTAGGTTAGTCTGAGTGCTGAAAGGCACTTGCCCTAGTCAGTCCCTGAACGAGACACTTGTGTCATTAATTGATCGCTGTCAGTTGAGCTAATTGCAAAGGGAGTCATTTTCCTAATAGCCCCACTGTAAACATGGCCTGAAGCAGATCACAGATGCGATTGTCCTGATCTTCCTTTCTCCTCTTACAGGATCCAGCTGCTGAAGCTAGGATGAAGGTTGCCTGTATCACAGAGCAAGTTCTTACTTTGGTAAACAAGAGACTCGGGCTCTATCGTCACTTTGATGAAGCGGTGAATAAGTACAAGCAGTCACGGGACATCTCCACCCTGAACAGCGGCAAAAAGGCTTTGGAGACAGAGCACAAGGCCCTGACAAGTGAAATAGCCTCTCTGCAGTCTAAGCTGAAGACAGAAGGCTCTGATTTATGCGATAAAGTAAGAAATGTATTTTTAAGGTCTGCTTTTCTTGGCTCTATTAAGTGTTCTAAGTCAGTTTTAATTTGTGGTTTAGCTTCTTCAGTCCTTATCTTTTTTAGGCCCCAAATTACATTTTTTTTTCCAGAAGGTGTGAAGTTCCATTTCTTCTGTTCTTTTTTTCTCCATTCGTTGTTTTTTTTTTCCCTCCCCATTTGCTGTAATCTTGGCTACACAGTTCTCTAGATGGTGTTAGAAACAGCACAAGCAGCTGTTCACTAAAACGTCAGTTAAGCCAGCTGTGTGGGTGCACTTTTGTAATGGTCCCAAAGCTTGTCATTGAGCTCATGGCATTGGATGAAAATAGAAACCATCAATACAGTAACTGTTCGGCTCTACTAGTCACACTCACCACACCGGAGTCTTCTCCCTAATCCCTTATTTTCTTGCACACATGAATTTGATGCTGACAGATCCAGTAACGTGATGCTTCCCGGGGGATTTTGCTGTACTGTGTGGAAAGCTGCGACACGAGTGTGCTCCCTCTGCCCTTCACTTACACTGTTTCAAGCCCTACCTGGAACAGCCAGCTAAGTCCAAGTGGGGACATTTCCATCTCCAAGGTCCATTCAAGCCCCAGCCACCTTGCTCACTCCATTAGCAGCCTGAGGAGCAGATCTGTCCCTGTGAACAGCAGCCCTCCTTCTCACACACCATGACCTTCACTGCAAGAAGGATGCAGCTTCCAGCCATCGTAGTTGTGATTTAGCTGAAAGCATCAAAAGCCGTCGGTAACGCTCTGCTGTTTCTGTAGCTCCTGGTTTCTCAGAGCCCCTGCTTTGTCACCCATTCACACGTTGTTCCTCATGACACAATGACAGGCAGCTGCTCAGGAGGCAATAGGCAGAGAGGAGATGTTCCTCCTACCACTGATGGTGCTTTTTGGCCCAGAGTTACTGACCCAGCTCCACTGTAGGGCTGTTTTTGACTCCTCTCACGTTCCCTTTTTTTTTTCCCTCACTCCTGCCAGGTAAGTGAGATTCAGAAGCTGGACGGCCAAGTCAAGGAGCTGGTGCTGAAGTCCTCCGTCGAGGCGGAGCGGCTGGTCGCAGGCAAGCTCAAGAAGGACACGTACATTGAGAACGAGAAGACGCATTCCAACAAGCGCCAGGAGCTGGTCACCAAAATCGACAACATTCTTGATGCTTTGTAACGCGGTGGGTCAGTAACTGGGAGAAGGGGAGGGGTGCAAAGAGAGATCAGAGGCCTGGGAGTGAACACACGTTGAGCCAAAAGTAGTAATGCTCCTTCCCCACAAAACTGGGGAAAAATTTCATGTGGAAAAAAAAAAGTCTGCAAGTAAGTTTTGTTTTTAGATTCTTTCACAGAGCCTCAGCAGTATCTGCTGTGCAAGGGACCATGATGTCCTGCTTTCAGGTGGATAGCAGGGCTTCTCGGGGTGAGACACAGCAAGGTTATAAAATAGTCTCCTGCTTTTGTTTGTCCCTGTGCAGCTGTGCTCTTACACACGGCCAGTCTGAGCACAGACGTGCTCATGGCAAACTCCAATCTCGCGTCCGGAAAGAATAAAGATGATTTTGTTTTAAAGGCTTTGGAATAAAACAGCGGCTGCCCCTGGTATTTGAGCAAAGTGGTGGGCGGGAAGGGGCCCGGCCCGGGATGACAGCGCGGGTCTTGCCAGTGCGCGGAACCAATGTGTGGGTGGCGCTGTTCCCGGGGGAGCAGAGTTCGGCATGGGACCGGCCCCCCGCTGCTACATCTCCCACTTGCCTTTTCCCCTTGGTGCAGCCCAAAGGCGGGCCCCGGTCCGAGGGCGCCGGTCTGGGTTCTGCACGGGGACCGGGACGGGCCGGTCCGGGTTCTGCACGGGGACCGGGC